ATTTATTATACAATTAACAAAAGCAAAAAAGTTCTCTAACACTAGCTTGCTCTATTCTTTTTCTATTCTATCTGTTTTCTTTTTATTTATTATATAATAAAAAAAAAAACTTGCTACGTGTACTGTGTACTACATTGCTCTTTTGTTGATTTTGATTGCTTCCATTGTCCTCATTTGTAAGTCGCTTTGGATAAAAGCGTCAGCTAAATGACTAAATGTAAATGTAAACTGGGCATTTGAGAGATCTCATTCATTAAAATTGATTTCGTCCATGTTTCGGCGGTTTGCGCGGTTTTTCTGGTAAATCGAGATGTGTCAAACCAGCCGCTTGATTTCCCGTAAAGCGGAAGCGACTGCTTAAATGTAACCGGTTGAGCACTGAAAAAAAAAATCTGGAAAATCAGCCTGATTGTGTTTTCTGCGTTCTGAAATGTGACTTTTCATAAAGTTGCTTCAGTCAGAGCCCGATCGACCCATACGGCGTAAAGACGCGTGTACGTTCACACATGTTTACACACACTGGCATGTATACATTTGATGGCTCTTAACACGTAAACAAACTCTCACGCAGCAGTTTGCGACGCACACGACTTCTCTTCACGGTTTATTACAGGGCGAGACGAGATTATTATTACTCGTCCGACAAGAACTGACTTGTCAGCTCAACATCAGAGTTAAACCGCTGCTCTAAACTAAAACAAATGTCTTGAATTTTCCAGGTTTTCCCTCTTGTTCCCTCCTCAGCTGTAAAGAATTCCCTTTGAGGGAATGTTTGGTAAAGAAACAACGTGAGAACATGGAGTTAAATGTTTGTCTATTTTTTACAGAATTTATGGAATTCCCTTTTGTGGCAATTAAGTTGAAGGACTCTGTATTTTTTGGTTTATTGTTCCTGTACAACCTGAAAGATGCATTTCTGGGATCATTTGAGTCATACGTAGCACTGCATTATACTGTAGTTTGGATTTCACCATTTGACCTTTACATTTCCTGATTTGTCTAGTCATTCTGGATAAGGATATATATTTTTAATCATTTTAGAAATCTTACACTCCAAAAGACCAGCCTGTATTCTAGAGCTGAGCAGAAAAAAAGTGTATTCACTAAGTAAATTTTCTTGACTTTTACATAATTTTCCATAATTGTCTGTCTCTCTATTTATCTATTGTTTGTTTGTTCGTTCGTTCTGTCTTTCTGTCTGCAATGTGTTCATTCATTCATTCTGTCTGTCTATCTATCATTTGTTTGTTCACTCTGTCTGTATGTCTGTTGTTCTATCCGCCTGTCTGTCTGTCTATTGTTTGTTTGTTTGTTCAGTCTGTCTGTCTATCTATCATTTGTCTATCTATCTATCTATCTATCTATCTGTCTATCTGTCTATCTATCTATCTATCTATCTATCTGTCTATCTGTCTGTCTGTCTGTCTGTCTGTCTGTCCGTCCGTTCGTCCGTCTAGAGTTTATTTGTTTGTTCAGTCTGTCTGTCTATCTATCTATCTGTCTATCTGTCTGTCTGTCTGTCTGTCTGTCTATCTTCATTAAGACCCTAAAGAATCATATCAACTTGTGGAAAATGGGCATCATATGACCCCTTTAAAAAAAGCTTTCTTTATTTTTTTTCTATTCTATCTGTTTTCTTTTTATTTATTATATAATAAAAAAAAAAACTTGCTACGTGTACTGTGTACTACATTGCTCTTTTGTTGATTTTGATTGCTTCCATTGTCCTCATTTGTAAGTCGCTTTGGATAAAAGCGTCAGCTAAATGACTAAATGTAAATGTAAACTGGGCATTTGAGAGATCTCATTCATTAAAATTGATTTCGTCCATGTTTCGGCGGTTTGCGCGGTTTTTCTGGTAAATCGAGATGTGTCAAACCAGCCGCTTGATTTCCCGTAAAGCGGAAGCGACTGCTTAAATGTAACCGGTTGAGCACTGAAAAAAAAAATCTGGAAAATCAGCCTGATTGTGTTTTCTGCGTTCTGAAATGTGACTTTTCATA